AAGTATAACAAGGTTGATGTGATTTCTAATCCCTTAAGTGTTTGCTTCGTGCAGGGATTAGACCATCTTGTCATATAACGTAGATACTGCACATTGTATTACAAGCAGACATAATTGAAATTAAATTTTAAATGAAGCCAATAGTAACTTAAAGCGTCACAAATCCAGGTGATTGATTTGAGAATTTTCAAAGTGGAAATGTAAGCTGATGGTAGCAGAAAATGCAAATCGAATCAGAAAAGCGACAATTAGTTTCGATAATTATTTCATTCCATTTCGCTTCTTTTTCCTTTTTAAGAGTTTATCAACTGGAGTTTAATTAAGTAAAAAATATCAATTAAAGTTTCTTTCTATAACGTTAATGGATTTGACAATTATGTCGCCGACTTTATTTAAATTGCATCGACTTAAAAACAACAGTAACCGTTTTATAAGTGAACAAAAGTTTTTCAAAGTGGAATTTAAGACCCTTTTTATGAAGTACTAACTTCTTTCATAAGCGGAAATCAAAACACCTTATACATAATGCATAGGTAAACATGATGTATAGGCATTTTTGATTTCGTAGTGTCTGTGTGATGTGCGTTATTGCATTTAAAAGCCATATTTCATGTTGTTGCGGATTTTTATATTTTGCTAACTAGAAATATGTAAATGAAATACACTTTTGGGATCTCTCAAAAGACTCGCTATATATGATGTATGTTTTGTTTTAGATTTGAATTGTAAATTTATCAATTTTTTCAAATCCTTTCCGCGATGAACAATTTAAGGTAAACAAAGGCAATTTTGTTCAATGCTTATTACTTGATATGACGTTCAGTCGAACATTTTAATTTAGTTGCAAAAAACAAATCGCCCGCAGGGAAAAACTAAATTAAAATTTCTTTTGTATTGAGTACACAAAAAAAGAATGCGTTCGTATATGAGAATTTTCGAACAGGTATTTTATTACCAATATAACATTTTATATTAGAGTGAATTTGACAGGCGCATTTACGTTCCGTGGATGAGTGTACGGCGGAAGAATGACAATTTAAATTACATCGTCTGTTCTGTTTGTCAAACATTATGTCTGCAATAAATATTTTTAGAAAGAATTTTCCTTATTCTTTAGCCAAATTGATTGTGGGCTCTTCGATAAGATCGAATTAAATAAATTACAGTTACGGCTGAGGTCTTTTTAGCTAAATGAAGGATATAAAACAAAGAGTAGTTTCCTTCACCTGATATAATGCATCTAAGATAACTATCTCAAAGCAACTTAAACAAGTATAAATTGTGCACAACTCGTATGCAGATAAAATGCATTTTCTTTAACCGAAATAGCTTTTGTAATGACATCACCAATGGATATATTTCTTGCAGACGTCTCAATCCCCATTGTGAGATCACGATATACCGGCATTATAGCTCAGTGGTAGAGCGTTGGGGTGTAAATCCGGAGGTCGGGTGTTCGAACCTGGTTTGAGGTGAATTTTTCTTCTGTGTTCTAGTTCTGAAATGGGAATTTCCTTAGATTCAGTTTCGAGCGTTCTGCCGGCTACTCCGAATTAGGTTTTCCTGCAGTTTTCCTAATTCGTAAGGTAAATACCGGAATAGTATAGAACAACTTAAGACCTTCTGCAGGGGCACCTCTAAAAAGCATCACTCTGTAATTGGGCGTAAGTCTGTCGAGGGCCTAGAACAAGAGGGACAATAAATAAAAATAAAATAAGAGGTCGAGGAGGAGGACTATGGTTGGTAGAAATTAATTCCTTTCGTTGATACCTTTCATTAGAGTACCATGAAGGATAAAGTTAGTTCCACCCCCCCCCTCCACACCGTACTTTGATAAGAAGGGCTGTAGTTGGTAGAAAACAGTTCCTTTCGTTGAGACCTTTAATTAGAATACAATAAGAGATACAATTATTTTTTAACCTCCCCCCCACCCCCATTTAAAGATTAATTAAAGTTTAACTTGGCACCACTAAAGGCATGCGTATACAAAATCTGAGACCAATTGGTTGTCGTATGTAAAAGTTACGCACGTTTTACTTTCAAAAACAGCATCTCAGGAAATAATTCGTGGGGAGAGCCCCCCTTTTAAACAGCGAAATTTGATGGTCATCGGGCACACCTTCAAGGTATAGGCTACCTACTGCAAAAATTTCCAGGGCTCTAGGAGCATTCCCCTGGAAGTAGTTCAAAACGGTAGAAGTGAGTCCGGACGGACGGACGGACAAAACGCAAACAATAGCACATTTTTTTAATTCTTTTTAAAACTGCGCTAAAAAGTGTATCAATATCACTTCTTGAACCCAGCTTAAGAAACTGGCCGAACACTAAGGGGTTCCTTTTTTGCTTTGACATTAATATAAGTGATCCTAAAATCTGTAATATTCTGGGGCCTTTAGGACCTCATCATTTCCGACTTTTTATTTGGCTTCAGCACCTAATTAATGATGGGTCACCCTATATGACCCATTTCAATTATTTTTAACGTTAAATGATAACGCGATGTCGATAATATATCATTTGAATTTGAAGCCAATGTGATTTTGTTTTAGAATTATTTGTTGTTTAATTTTGTAGTAACGTAGTATTTGATTTTATTTTATTGTTCATTTAGTAAGATAAGAAATAAAAGACAATGCTTTAGGTATGTATATCCAGGATGAGGTAAATGAAGCGGGACATTGTAATTGGGATGAAAGCGAGAAGTGTTTGTTAAATACGTCTACTCGTTACCGATGTTAAATGACAAAAACTTAAAAATAGCACGAGTTAACCCAAGTAGCACACACTCGTGTTTATTACGTACGAAATTGATTAAAAACTTTTTTTTCATAACACGTTTTATATACGTTTTTTATAATACCATTTAAATAAAGTGATTTGAGCGAAAAAATATCGTATGTTCTTAGAGTGTAATAGTGTATGGCGACTTGCCGTAATTTGTGTCGTGCTCCTGTCTTATTTAATTGCTTTTTTAGTGATCTCATAATGGAGTCAAATCAAAATTTAAGTACCAAAATAATACATAACCTATCCACATATGAAATATGGTAGCAATTTAAAATGATACTAGGCGGTATTCACAGTACGTAATTAAACCGAGTTTAGGATCAATTCGTACATTTTATATGCACCACCATATTGCGGCATTTTAAGCTCGTTTAAGGTTAATCTCATCGCTCTCAATATTGGCGGCAAACACATTAAAAATAAATTACTCGTAGTAAACTACACTAATTGTGGAAAGTATAACCTCAATTTCGGGAGAGATTTGCATAAACAATAGGATTTATTTGTGATATCCATTTGTGTTGTTTAGGTACCGTTCCTGGACATACAACAAGCATTCGACCGAGTCTGGCACGCCGGACGTAATTCGCGACCTAGGAATTCCCGAGCCACTTACACGGCTGATCCTTTCCTTCCTCTCCGATAGATCGATGAGGATCATGATCGCGAAAAACCTTTTCCCTCAATTTTCGCCCTCCGCCGGTGTATCCCAGGGTTCTACACTTGCCCCAATCCTATACCTAAGATATGCAGAAGACACTCCTACTCTCGCTCCTACTTCATGTTCTTGCAACGTGGCCATCAATCTGTTCGCGGACGACACGCCCCTCTGGTCCACCCGTGCCTACAGTAGGGAGGCGGCGGCGTCCATACCCCGCCCACCTTCCCTGTTCTCCCAGTTGGCCAACTGCTGGAGAATCACCATTAACTCAGCGAAAAGTCAAACCATTTTATTCCGGCACCCCAATTTCGCATACCATTAAATACCTTCTCCCGAACCCATAACTTGCAAACTGACCTCAATCCAACCTTTAAAAAAATGAAATTGAATTCTGTAGCCGGTCCGTGCAGAGTACAGCTGGAGGATCAATCTCAATTCCAAAACAGAGCTGGAGAGTAACTTTCCATTCTATTCTGATTAAAAGCCGTAACCAGAATGCAACTAAAACTCCTGGTGCACGAACAGATATTTATGAACCCGTAGTTTAATCGCGTAACATATTAACGTATTGCAGTTCGCTGTATTGTATAGGCTGTCCATAAAATACAATTAATTTTCTTTTATCACCTGACGGATATTCATTATGCAGTAGGTTTATTTCATGAACGAGTATATAATAAAGTTGAGCTATGTGAAATCATTTGGTTACTATATTGCATTTCAGTCACCGAGAATTTAGGCATATTAAGGGTGCAATAATAATTACCATTCTTCCATTTAAGTGTCCAAATATGTTTAGAGGTAAGCTATCAAATTTCTAGCAAAGCTATGCCGAAAATTGTATTGAAAAAGCTGAATTCAGCTGTAAAGGCACATAAACATTAGTTTTAGCATTAGCGGGAATCATAAGGTAAGTTCGATTGAGCTAGTCGGTGCAGCTCATATATTAATCGATCTTAAAATCTTAAGTTAATCAGTCAGTTCAAATTTTGTAACTACCCCGTTACACCGCCGTATGCTCCCCTTCTTAAGTCGTTCGAATATTGGTGCAATTATCAAGTATGGGTTGCGTTGACGTTTAACGTTTCCATTATTAAAGAACACCCTAAAATATCGTTCTTATACTATTACTATGAGCACAGGTAGTTTATTCTGTACTTATACGTAGTGTAAATATTTGTCTGATTTGCAAGGACCTTACGTCATTACATACATACACCGAATGGAATTATTCAAGGGAGATATCGATACCTATTAGGTGTAGCGTAATCTGCATTCTTCAGGAAATTGCAATAAAGCAATTGCGCTTGCGATAACTGTATAATAAAATTTGAGTTTACGAGTGAATTGTAGGTGCATAATTTAACTTTACATTCATTCAGTGCTTCAGATTGCGATACGATTAGGTTTATGGCCGCAATTATACGTGCAAAGTTTACTAATCACAACGTAATTACGCCGCAAGTGCCATTTTCATTTAAGACAAATGTCGCATAGCCACTTTTAGGAGTTTCTATAAGTATACACACTTTCATATGACTGATATAATTACCCAATTCCATAACAATTTCTAGTTGAAATCTCTGCTCGTTGCCATTTGATGTACATACATTATCATTTAATATTGCGGTCAGACAACTCTTGACGTAGCTTTGAATCGTGCACGGTGCATGCAAAACGTTTCTTACTGTTACAGTTTTATTTTCTCAAGTATATATGAATTATTTTCGGTTAAGTATCACTGTAACTTTTGTTTGAGGTTCACTGTATTTTTCAGGCTGGTTTCGTGTGTGAATATTTTTTATTGGTCCATTCAGTCAGGACCGATAGTTAGTTGCACATGTGAGGTTCTATCTATAAATTTCAATGAATGTGTAATTGCAATGGTGTAAGTATTGTTTCGGACGATTCATCGGATGTTTGTTTGATCTCGAATTACTATTGGATCGAGATACATTTTTTTCCTCATATGGAGGTTACAAATTGAATTTCTTAGTGGATGCACACGTAAGGAGCCACTATTTGCTTAATTACGATGACTTATCTACCCTCTATTTCTAATTTTATGTGTCCGATAGTGATTGTATACAGACTATTTTTCCAAATTTGTTATTGAGCTACATAACTTACAAAACGGAACAAATGCACGGAATAGATTACTAAAATAGGCAACCAATTCTATACGAATTTCTTTTAAATGATAATCTGCGTCTTCTATGGAAACCGTAACTGAATTAAGTATTTGCTGTCAAAAATTAAGGTTAGCTATTAGTCTTCATTTTTATTATTAGCTTCTAATTGTGATGTTTTAATCCAAAGATGTATAGAAAAGGCGCTAAAGTTGAATATTAACATGGCATCCGGATAGTAACGCGTTTGTCGCGTGTAGCGTTGGTTGCCTACATCCATCTCCTACTCCATGCATTTGATCTTTTTTTTTAATATGCATACCCATATGTACACATTTAAGAAAAATTCCCTGTATATAGGAATAGCAGGTCCTGAGGATCTGTTGACGTTCTACCTACATCAACGATTATGGTGCGCCGTTTTACTATTTATTATACATTTATAACGTATATGAAGATATTTAAATAACAATTGAATTGTTACCAACAAATTCAACATCTCAAAAAAATGTTAGCCAAATGTATGCAAATGTAAGAAATGTTAATATGGATTTCAGCGTTTGAATCCTAAAACACTACAAGATGACAGAGATGAATATTAAACATTGCCAATTTAATTGTCATGCATCAAAATAAATAGCAATTTCTATAAAAGATTTAAACACATAAGGCATTTATTTGGAACTGTCCAGCTATACCAGAAGTGAAATACATTTGCTGCTGTGTGTAATTGAATTGATATTAAATAAAATTGAGTCGAGTATGTTTGCATCCAAAAAAAATGTAAACCATTCTCATGCGTATATCAAATTAAATCGCATGCATTGAAATTCGTATATATGCACTTTAAAGAACAAACTTTATTCACGTATGGGATTAAAATAGATACCCGTTGCGACATTACCTATGGAAATGAAATTATTCGTAAGGTATGGCATAAAAATTAAATCGAAGTTTAAGATGTAGCATTGAATTCCAATGAATTTAATAGTGCATCTTTTAATTCAAATGAACGTCGAATTATTTTGTGAATCATTTCTATGCGATACACCGCATTAAAATACAGCGCATTTTAAGTGTGCTTATACATACAATGGAAATTCGGTCTGCATAAAATGTATCGCATAAGAATGAGACACAAATTTAATGTATCAAATGGAAATGGTATGAATGAAAATTACTCTGCATGCAAATGCGCAGTTACGTTAGAGAAGGAAAGTAGCCGTAGGTCTTAGGTACGTTTTATTTGCGGTTGCGCAAAAACAAAACAGCTGTTATTGATTGTTACTTACATCGAACGTATAAATGGATTATTTATACGTTCATCAATTTTGAGAAGGCAAGCGATTTATTGGGTTATTTACGTCGGTCACACGTGACCTTTACAGTTTTTACGTACATATTCGGTAAGTCCAATTTTACGATTCCTTTTATGATAACAGTAAACAATGAATGTAGGATTTGCACCTGCTGCGCAATATTGTTTAATATAAAGCAAGAAAAAGGCCGATGGAAATCGAAAGATGTGCAAGAGGCGCCGGGTCCCCTTAACAATAAATTGGAGGTGTACGCTGTCGCTATAAAAATAGGTAATCTCAAATTTCACTTATTCTTACCTGTAATGCAAATTGAGTGAACAGTTACAGGTTCGTGGGAATTAATAATGGATAAAGAGTCCAGAGATAAACCGTGTTAATGGAACGAAGCTCATGTTCTACGACTCTTGTAAGGAACAAGCACATCGACAAGTTGATGCTCCTTCGTAATGGAAATTATGTCGAGTTCAATCGTGATATATCTACTAACACGATTAGTTAAATATGTAATCTCCATTGAATGAGAGATTTGTATATTTACAAGATGCTAATACATGTACCTGTGTAGAAACACGAGCACGTGAGACATTGTTAGACACGTATCTCGTTCTGTTTGATGGGTGCACCGTAGTATGTAAACGAAGACGTGTCATTCGCTAACAAAGTTACACAAATATTGTCAACAAAATTTGTATCCTGATAATTAAACGATTATCCTATTCGTCATCTGGAAGCGTTTATTTCAAAAGTGAACCACACATCGAGAAATGTAACTTCCCTACATACCAAAAGGCAGATTGAAAGAGAAGTCCTCGCAGGGATGATAGAAGCGTAGTTCCTCTTAAAAACCCCTGTTAAAGTTTTTCTAGAAGTGCTCCAGAATTTGAGAAATTAATTTTTTTGACCTAGCACATTTCTAAATAGAACACCTAACTTTGACATCGCATTAAAGAAGTTACAGAGAGGTTAGAAGAAAATCCCCTATAGGGGCGATAGAAGGGATGTTCCTCTTTAACACCCTGCTCGCGGTTTTTCTGGAAGTGCCCTAAAATTCGAGAACTTAATGATTAAGGGTATTTTGGTCATTCTTTTAAATGTGAACGTTGTGATTTTGGTCATCTGTTTTGCTCATGCGGGAGCTGTGGTTATGAAGCCGATTTTGTGTAATTGTTGCAGTTATTCACATTAAAGCCGGATCCGGCTTTATAGTTCCGTAGCCGTAAGAACGGAACCGTAAAATCTGACGTTAACGAAAATTATGCGATTTATAGTTACCGTAGTGGTAAGAGATGAGCTTGCGTATTTATCTGCCATTGTATGTCATCTGTCAGTAAGAGTAACGTGCATTTCAAAATAATAATAACCAACAAAGTGTCAATAATTACTGTAAATAAACGAAACGAACGTCCGGATAAACTCAACTGTTTGAATTATCCGAGTACTATCGAAGACAGGCGCGTTAGCGCGATTTACCGTAAGGAATAAGATTTGGGCATTTCCTACGTACCGTAACCGTTCTAACGCAACGTAAACGGGAACTATAAATGTTCACGCGCAACAAGTAATTCCAAACGTTACGGTACGGTGTTGCGGGTACGGAACTATAAATTCAGCTTAAATCACATGACAGCCGACAGGTTTGGTAATTTATTTTCGGCGAAGTCTTCAGATTAAATAGTATATTAAACCACGATTACTAATTTATTCATTTCATAATTTTTCGTTTTGGTTATAAGTTTTTGTGGTCCTGTGTATTGTACCTGTTAACGGTAATTTCTATGTGTCAGCCACTTCCAACCAAATTCAAGTCCACGGCTTAGTAGCCACTGTTATGGAGGTGGTTAGAAGGCCTATTGGTGTAATATATTTATGAGGCATTTACAAAAATTGGAGCTTTAGATCCCGGTATATATACCGTAGCGTTCGAAAATGTGATAGGTAATTATTTTACAGTGTTCTTTTATTACCATATGTACCGATCACATTAACGAAATGGATCACTAATTGGAGTGTATTCATCTGGTTGGTCCACGCGCGGCGCCACTAAAAAAAGGTGCAAGAGTTGTAACCTCACTTTGCAATCTTTTTGGCTTTCCTTCAATAATTATCAAGAGGACTTCCGTTGTGTACATTTTTTGTTATATTCGAAACCTTAGATCTTACGAAACACTTTCATGATAGTAAGTATATGCTAATGTAGCCTTGTAGGTATATGCTGTTTATCTCAGAGTAAGAAATAAAGATAGCGATGCCTTGATGCTTATCAAAACGCGCCATAATCTCGTCGTGTTTGTAAATATTGCAGGAAGCGAACTTGTCACATTTCGCGAAACCATTTTTTAATTAATATTAATAATAGATATATAGAAAGGATCTAAATGGATTTTTAAATATTTATAAAGGTGGTGAAAAACAAACTATTATAAGTTGAAATTAAACGGCCTAATAAGAAAATTTAAGATAATTAGTGTGTCACGACGGCAACGCTGTAGCGATTTGACAGATGAAACTATATCTGTTTATTTCTAAAAATCGTAATTTTCGGCATTTTTAGTTCATTTTATAGATTGAAACTTATTCCATTGTGTTTAATAATTTATCAGCACCCTTTGACATGGGGAAGGGTGTTCTGTTTGTGGAACTATCTTTGTTTCCTACTCTATATGTTTATAAATTTATGCGCTACATTTACACATGACAAAAGCATTGTTCTATAAACAGGCATGCACCAAAGTTACCGCATCTCATCAGTCATCATCAAATGTTTACCGACATTTTCCATCGTGGATCTACCGCTCCAGTTTTCGTAAATGCCCAATAGGTATTATGCTGTCGGTGCCCATATTACAGTGACTCTATAAAGACAGTGTGGCCATATGCTCATTTCCGCCATTTTTCCCAAATTTATTATTGAGCTTATGGGAGAATCGCACATTTTGAGTGTAGGAATGTTGCGATTTACGCAAATCCTTCTTTTGAGAATTTTTTTTCGGGAGGTTTTTAGGGGTATTAGCAGATCAAATTACCGAATGGCTTGGGTTGTTCAATAAATAGGATTTGACATGTGTGTTCATGGTCTTTGTCTTGTAACCGGCTGAAGTGTAAAGTACGGCTTGTCTCAAAATATTTTGATATACCTTAATCGTTGCTGTGTGCTTTTGCTTTTTTGTATCAGGTACAGCTTTATTCAATTAATCTATAATGTGTGTAACTTGAATGTAGATTGTAACTTTTTACTTATGTACTTACTGGATTCAATCACTTGTACCTCTTAATGTGTAACCTTTGTTGGTATTGGCAGTCATGTTTCATTGTCGGTAGGGCTGTATCTGTGCTGTACATACTTGCATGTGTACATATTTGCGTATTGTGCTTTTTAGTCACTCTCGATTATTTCATTGCATTTCATTATATTTGCTTATTTGGGACTGGAGTAATCAAGAGGGAAGTGTGCTTGTTTAGAGGGGATCGAGTTATTCAAGTTTATACGGGCCTTGGTGAACCTAACACTAACATTTTCACTCGTTCCGAACCCAACAACTTTAGCCCATGTCTACAGGGCCTGGGTAATCCTCCCGGCCGTCGAGGTATATTTAACACTTCTTAGTTTTGCCTGATGTATGTGTTGTAATACCTGGAGAATGTCTCGATTCCATTTTGGTTTGGTTTGGGTATTTACCCCGGTTTCGAGGGGGCTCAAAACTGCTGTACATTAGATGTTTGTTATAGGACTACTCCGAATTAGGTTTTCCTGCAGTTTTCCAATTCGTAAGGTAAATGCCGGAGTAGTATAGAACCACCTAATACCCTCTGCAGGGGCGCCGCTAAAAACCATTATGCGGGTCACTCTGTAATCGTATTGGTATTAGATTCAATATAAACTTAATCAGCTATTTATTTTTACTTTTGGTGTTCCTTATCCATAAAACACCCTCAGTGCCTGCTGAGAACCCAGTTATTACACAACGTAGGTGTCCTACATGACGATCACGATCTTAGTGCACTCGGAGTGGCCCCCGAGTGACAGATTCTCGCGGGAAACTTAAGCGAGAATATTCAAATAGGCAGCCATGTTAGTTTGGCATTCCCTCTACTACAGAATATGGTCAAATATTCCGGTGTGATTTGAAGTTGGCGTTAGCCCGCCAAGATCGGGTTCATAACCACAGCTCCCGCATGCGCAATAAAAATTACGGAAAGCACAAAGTTCACATTTAAAAGAATGAAGAAATTCTCTTAAATTAATTTATTTCTAGACTTTGCATAACTTTATTTACAATTGGTTATCAAATTACAACCACTATATCTCCGTGTTGATAGTTACGTTGGTACAGCCTTAGTTTTTTTCTTAAATTGTAGAGTACCTACTTTTAGAAAAACCAAAAAAATCGGTTATTTAAGTTATGTCAGGTCTATTCTACCGCCCTCGCTATAACTTTTACCAGCCGTAACCAGAACAATAACGTGTATGAACTGTACACAGACATTAAGTGTGCGTTTACAATGTACCTACGTATACGTAAGAGATACATAAAACGTAAAAATTTCGCAAAGTTGAACTGTATAGAAACATACGAAGGTGTTAAGTTTACAATGAACGTAATTTTTACGTACGTATATGTAAGCGATATGTAAGTCTTGCGCATAGTCGCAAAGGTTGAAAATGTTTCAAAGTTACGTACGGTCAAATATCATACTACTTGTAATATGATCTTTGGTTTATTGCAAACAGCGAAGTAAATTTACGGAATCGATACAGATATGTACGAGTTACGGTTTATGAAATTTTTGTACACGTTCATTGTAATCGCACACGTATATACAGATAGATATAAGGTTTTAAGTAGGTAATAGATCCACTGTCAATAACCACCTCCATAACAGTAACTACTACGCCGTGCACGTGCACTTACATGCAATGCAAATAGCAGTTGTCTACCGTTATAGGTACAATATACACATTGAACTGTATACTAACGTATAGTATACAGTTCAATGAATATACAGGATCACAATAACATAACCAAAAAGAGAGATTCTTATGGAATGAAAAAAGCAGTGATCGTGGTTTCCTATATTACTTATAGTCTGGGACTTCACCGAAAATTATAAACAAACATTTTCAAGTGAATGACATCAATCATCACGCAAAATCGGCTTCATAACCACAACTCACGCATGCACAGCAAAAATTACCTAAATCACAACGTTCACATTTAAAAGAATGAACAAACACACTCATAAGTTCTCGAATGATAGGGCACTTCCAGAAAAACTGCGAGCAGGGTGTTAAAGGAGGAACATCCCTTCTATCACCCCTACAGGGGGTTTTCTTCCAACCTCTCTGTAACTTCTTTAATGCGATGTCAAAATTAGGTGTTCTATTTAGAAGTACGTGCAAGGTCAAATTTAAAAATTAATTTCTCAAATTCTGGGGCACTTCTAGAAAAACTGTAACATGGGTTTTAAAGGGGAACATCCCTTCTATCACCCCTATAGGGGGTTTTCTTCCAACCTCTCTGTAACTTCTTTAATGCGATGTCAAAGTTAGGTGTTCTATTTAGAAGTATGTGCGTGGTCAACTTTAAAAATTTATTTCTCAAATTCTGGAGCACTTCTAGAAAAACTTTAACAGGGGTTTTTAACCCTGCAGTGGTGACGTGAAATTTTGGAACACCAGTGGTGACCTCGGTCTGAGAGACCGAATTTGATTTTGGCTTGATTTCGTAGTTACTACGCATGCAACTTGGCTTAAAATAAAGGAAAAAGTACAGTCAATAAATAAAGGCATATAAATCGAAAAATAAATTTTATTCTTGTAACATAACCAGTAGCGGTCCCAGGATTTGGTAAAGGGAGGGGCTCAAACCCGAACTTTGCCCCAACATGGAAAAAAATGAAAGAAATCTAATGAAAAAAATGAATGAGGGGGCCCGTGGCCCCCCCCTGGGACCGCCACTGACAGTAGCGGTCCCAGGATTTGGTAAAGGGAGGGGCCCAAACCCGAACTTTGTCCCAACACGGAAAAGAATAAATCTGATGAAAAAAATGAACAATAGGGGGGGGGGCCGGGCCCCCTGGGACCGCCACTGAACATAACTAAATTGAATTATACACAATACTAAGCTTATGGGGGGATGCGCGTTGCAATGCTGCGCTGACTAGAATTTTCGTAGCATCAATGCACTGGAAAGCGGCCAATTACCCACGGCACTAAATTGTCAAAGAACGGCTTGCTTCATCAAGTTGTTCGTCTGGTACTAAACTCAGACACGCAAAATATTAAGCTAGCAGAACTAGCAGTGCCATGCGCTGCATCGTTTTTATAAAAATTTGAAAAATACTTTTCGTCGGTCTGAGAGACCGTGCGTCACCACTGAAGGGTTAAGAGGAACTACGCTTCTATCATCCCTGCGAGGACTTCTCTTTCAATCTGCCTTTTGGTATGTAGGGAAGTTACATTTCTCGGTGTGTGGTTCACTTTTGAAATAAACGCTTCCAGATGACGAATAGGATAATCATTTAATTATCAGGATACAAATTTTTTTTGACAATCTTTGTGTAACTTTGTTAGCGACGTCATCGTTTACATACTACGGTGCACCCATCAAACAGAACAAGATACGTGTCTAACAATGTCTCACGTGCTCGTGTTTCTACACAGGTACATGTATTAGCATCTTGTAAATATACAAATCTCTCATTCAATGGAGATTACATATTTAACTTATCGTGTTAGTAGATATATCACGATTGAACTCGACACAATTTCCATTACGAAGGAGCATCAACTTGTCGATGTGCTTGTTCCTTACAAGAGTCGTAGAACATGAGCTTCGTTCCATTAACGGTTTATCTCTGGACTCTTTATCCATTATTAATTCCCACGAACCTGTAACTGTTCACTCAAATTGCATTACAGGTAAGAATAAGTGAAATTTGAGATTACCTATTTTTATAGCGACAGCGTACACCTCCAATTTATTGTTAAGGGGACCCGGCGCCTCTTGCACATCTTTCGATTTCCATCGGCCTTTTTCTTGCTTTATATTAAACAATATTGCGCAGCAGGTGCAAATCCTACATTCATTGTTTACTGTTATCATAAAAGGAATCGTAAAATTGGACTTACCGAATATGTACGTAAAAACTGTAAAGGTCACGTGTGACCGACAGAAAATAACCCAATAAATCGCTTGCCTTCTCAAAATTGATGAACGTATTAATTAATCCATTTACACGTTCGATGTAAGTAACAATCAATAACAGCTGTTTTGTTTTTGCGCAACCGCAAATAAAACGTACCTAAGACCTACGGCTACTTTCCTTCTCTAACGTAACTGCGCATTTGCATGCAGAGTAATTTTCATTCATACCATTTCCATTTGATACATTAAATTTGTGTCTCATTCTTATGCGATACATTTTATGCAGACCGAATTTCCATTGTATGTATAAGCACACTTAAAATGCGCTGTATTTTAATGCGGTGTATCGCATAGAAATGATTCACAAAATAATTCGACGTTCATTTGAATTAAAAGATGCACTATTAAATTCATTGGAATTCAATGCTACATCTTAAACTTCGATTTAATTTTTATGCCATACCTTACGAATAATTTTATTTCCATTGGTAATATCGCAACGGGTATCTATTTTAATCCAATACGTGAATAACGTTTGTTCTTAAAGTCATAAAGTGCATATATACGGATTTGAATGCATGCGATTTAATTTGATATACGCATGAGAATGGTTTACATTTTTTTTGGATGCAAATATACTCGACTCAATTTTATTTAATATCAATTCAATTACACACAGCAGCAAATGTATTTCACTTCTGGTATAGCTGGACAGTTCCAAATAAATGCGTTATGTGTTTAAATCTTTTATACAAATTGCTATTTATTTTGATGCATGACAATTAAATTGGCAATGTTTAATATTCATCTCTGTCATCTTGTAGTGTTTTAGGATTCAAACGCTAAAATCCATATTAACATTTCCTACATTTGCATACATTTGGCTAACATTTTTTTGACATGTTTAATTTGTTGGTAACAATTCAATTGTTATTTAAATATTTTGGTATACGTTATAAATGTATAATAAATAGTAAAACGCATCTTGTACACACCAGCATTTAAATAGGTTTGTGATGTAGATGATCGCAAAGAAAAAGCATTCAAAATAAACCTATCGCATTTTAAATGCAATTTATAGTATTTACAGGCATTAAAAACTGAAGTGGTGCTACGGGATTCGTCATATAAACGTCGTTATTTTGTGACATGTTACAAAGGAAACTATTTAAATTACTATCGTACTCCAAGAAAATGTGGATTTTAATTTAACAAAACCATTTTATTACAATGGCATATAAACGTAACCAATTAAAATGCTATACTTAAAATGCAGTTAATAAATAGTAAATTGGCGTTCCATAGAAATGTCTGGAGGAAGAACGAGGCACAGAGAAATTTAAATAATTGTGTAATGTGACACAATCAATTTCATTCCATAATAATTTGTACAAGAACGACACACTTATTCTTTTACGTCTGCTACTTTAAGGGTAAAAGATTGAATCTTTCTAGCAGTAGATTTTGTGGGTAACCTCTTGTAGGGTAGTATCCATCACAACGAAATGCTACATATTTTAAAAGACGACGTTGTATACGTTCTAGGCATTCTTCGTGTTTTTTAAATGCTGGATTCCATACTAGTACACCATATTCAAGCTTGCTTCGTACAAATGTAGAAAAAAGTAGTATAAGAGTTGACAAATTTGCAAAATCTGAACCAATGCGTATAATAAACCGAAGGTTTTAAAAGATTGCCTAACAATTGTATCAATGTGTAAGCTAAATGTTAGCATGTTATCGAACAGAACCCCTAAATCCTTTGTTTGAGTGTCTCTTTTTAAGGGTGTATCTTGAATTTGATAATTGTATCGGATTAATTGACGCTTGCGTGAAAAAGTTACCACCTTGCATTTATCAATGTTCAGGTACAACCTGTTTGCGTTACACCAATTATAAACACTTTCTAAATCGCTTTGAAGGCTCTCGCAATCCTTGTGGCTTGTGACCCTAGTGAAAATTTTTAAGTCATCCGCAAACAATAATCTCTGAGATGAAATTACGGAGGGTAAATCGTTAATGAATATTAAAAAGAGAAAGGGACCAAGAGTTGACCCTTGCGGCACTCCAGATGTAGGAATAAATGATTGTGAGTCATGCCCGTTATAGGAAACAAATTGACGTCGGTTAGTTAGATATGACTTTATTAAATGAACAATAGGGCAACTGAAACCATATTCGACAAGCTTGTTTAAAATAATGTTATGATCAATTTTATCGAAGGCTTTGTTGAAATCTGTGTAAATAACATCAACTTGCTGTCTATTATCTAGTGCTTCAGAACAATATTGCACAAAGCAAGTCAAATTTGTAACAGTTGATCTATTGGGAACGAAACCATGCTGGTAACTAGACAACTGCGTGTTAAATTGTTGATAAAGTTTTTTGTATAGTACTGTTTCAAAAACTTTGGAGAAGTTGCATAGAATAGATATGGGGCGATAATTTTCAACTTTAGATGCCAAACCTGTTTTTAATATCGGTTTAAAGTAAAAGTAAAAGGCTTTGATATTTGTTGAGCGACTGCTGAGGAGGTGGGCACTTAAATCTTTGAGTTTCTAGTCCTAGAGCTTCTCCGTACTCTTGTGATCAACATCTAGTGGCCTGTTTGCCTTTGGGTATCTTCAAATATGTAGGTACTTCAGATTTTGGATCCTCTTTTCGAATATTTTAAACTTTTAGGCTCCATGAGGTATTGAGTCCTTAAAACTTTGGTTTAGAAACCGCAGAGCCTTTGTGTTTTTGAATCAATGATTCTCTGGGTGTTTGATTTCATTTGGATCTCATTTTAAATTCGGGCCCTTACGTCTGTATGCCTAACTTGTAAGTCGTGGTGTGTCTGTCCCCCAGTTTTTTGATATTGTATATATCTGCATCCTTGAATCCTGTATATCTTTGTCTTCGAGCTTCAGATCTTTCGAGTCCTTGCATCATTGAGTCTTTTATCTGTTAATCTTTCGGGCACTTCACTCCTAGGTTCCTGGAACTAACTCAATCCACCCGTTTCACAATTTTTAATGCCCCTTTAGGTCCTTGGAGCTAATGGATACCTCAGTATTTGAACGAATTGGTTAATTAGTCAATGAGGGACCCTCAAACCTGTTTTAATTTCTAGGATTTTGAGTCCTTGGCCGAATGCTTTGCGTTTCTAATTTCTGATGCTCACACAAAACCGGTGGTGGGGTTGGCGTGTGCCGAGTTAATGATTGATTCGCCGTTAGACATAAAGATTTTTTTGTTTATTATTTATACTAGAATCTCAATCTCCGTTTTCAACACTCAAAAGCGTGCGAAAAGAGACCTTTAAAACACACGTGCTTTAAAGTTGCTAAGTAATGATACTTCAAGTATGACTTTTGAAACTGTCATCTGGAATTGAAATAAAAAATCCTCTTAGGTCGCTTTCTGTAAATCCAGAACATTTCATTGTCTTGTGCCTATCCTTTGGTTGAAGCTTTTACAAACGCGCTTAATTTAGGGTGTGCTTCCAAACCTGTTCCACTTTTTAATCGCAGCATTGTTTGAAGTTTTGAATGAATGCACCAAACGCGACACCTTTCCCCACAGAAAGGAAAATTCAATGTTGCAACCATTTTTATTGCCGCCACCATAGATTACATATAATTACTAAATTTACACATTTATTCGAGTTTCTTCCGGTTCCGTACCATAGGTGGATTGGAGTCGTCTAGGGAGTCATCGTTGCGTTGCAATCGTGATTTGTACAAATTAGCCCCCAGTCGACAACGTAGTGACAGGTATTGCAATCGGAGGGCGGTTCCGTTTCCACCGTACAGTTCCTGTAGTCGTTAGACGATGAACTAAAAGAAAACGATTACTATACTCTGTTTTTTAACTAGAAAGACGGATTTAAAAACCTGATTTACACTGAAAATGTCACTAGAATCTAATAATATAATAATAATAATACTTTATTATCCTGGCGGAGACCAGCTGTAAGCTGTTTTTCCCAACCAGCAGAATTACAATTTACAATTACAAAATACTGATTGAAAATAACATAAACTAAAAAAGGTATACTATTTCAATAACTTGAGTTGTACGAGACTACATGAAAAGAAAATAAATGAAATCTTAGACGAAGACAGATTGACAAAAATGACAAAATTTCTCCACGTGTGTACATAATATCTAAAAGAAGTATATAGGAGGTAACATATAGAAAGATTAGGTAACAGAAACTTGCTATACTTAAAGGTCTAATTATTATTCATTGTAAATCATAATTTTTACTTTGCGCTTAAATTGATAGCTATTCAATGATTTGTATTCATCAGGCAGCTTATTGTACAAAAATGCTGACATGTATGTAAACGAAGATTTGTAGCTTTGCAATCGATGTGCAGGTATTTGAATATCGTTTGTATTTCTAAGTTGACGATCATGTAAATCTCTCCGAAAACGTATTGTGGACTGTAAGTATGGGGGCACGCCAGATTTTATAATTTTGTGAATTAAACACAAATAGTGTATAGTCCTCCTATCGTTCATTCGGTAAAGATTCAATTGCTTGAGATGAGGTGTGATATGTTCTTGCCTATTTACGTTACTTACATAACGTACGCATGCGTTTTGAACTTTTTGGATTCTGTACGAGTCTGAATTTTTTAAGCAAGGACCATACACAACATCACAATAATCAAATAGGGACAACACAAGGGAATTAACAAGTTTACGTTTGACAGAAAGTGAAAGAATATTTTTATATTTATAAAGACACCGAAGCCGACCATACGCGGATTGTATCAACTTACTTACATGCGGGGTGAAGGTAAGATTTTCGTCCAATATCAGACCCAAGTTTTTGTGAACGGTTTTAAAGTTTATTACGTTGCTATCAATATTTACATCGGTTAGTGAAGAATTAATTCCCCCAAGCAAATGTTTATTAACATTCCTACAGTTTTAGATGGATTTAGAATAAGAGAGTTGTTAATTGACCATTCGGATATACGATGCAGATCTTCATTAATTAAGGTAGTTGTATTTGAAAACTGCTCTGAATAAAACGAATAATAAACTTGATTATCGTCTGCATAACTGTGGTACCGACCGTGGTGTACACATCTACTGAAGTCGAAAGTAAACAGGGAGAAAAGAAGTGGCCCTAAAATTGACCCTTGCGGAACTCCAGTAAATACTTGCATGGAAGACGACATACTTTCTCCACTCTCCTCTTGCAACGCAACGTACTGACATCGACCGGTTAGGTAATTTTCAAACCACGCTACCGCGGATTCACTACTGCCCAGGTATGATAGCTTAGACAACAGCACTTTATGGTTTAGTCCATCAAAAGCCTTCGAATAGTCCAACATCAGAAGTAACGTTATTTTTCCTTCATCCATCGCTCTAAGAATATCATCCATAAGATCTAGCAAACACGA